GCATTATGTGTATGTGTATGTGTATTTGAATGTATATATAATAATATGTGTAATATATGCGGATATATGCAATAATTAATCTATCTATTATCTATTTATTTATTTTGAAGGAGATGTGATATTTAATGATGAATGAATTAGATGCTGATTATGAAGATTATTGATAACATTAAATTTATTATTATTTTTATTATTTTTATGATGATGTTTATGGTGTTGGTGATGATAATGACAATTATGATGCTTGTGATGATGTAGGTGATGTGTAGTAGACTTTCGACGAACATTAGATTTTTTGCTTTTATCAACAAGATCATCGTCAAGATCACAACAACCATAATCGTTAACACAACCGGTATTATTCATATTACTAATACTACCAGTAATGTTAGACGATAATGATGAAGGCGTCGATGTTGACATTAATAACGCATTACTACTATAAGATCTACCAGACAAGGTACGTCTCATATTTCCACTATTATTGTTAATAACATTATTATCATGAAGATTATGACGATTTTTTGTCACATAAGAAGTATGCGGGGTTGACATTCGATATAATTTTTTTTGTATTGATTTGGTTGTATTCGACATAATTTTTCCTGGATGTCATCTGGTATAATAAGTAGACCAGCAGCCAAACTTACACGACGTTGTTGACCTATAATTGATGGTGACGGTGATAATGATAGTGATGGCTTTGAAGGTGATGGAATGGTAATGGACATTGTTGGAATTTTATTAGGAGTAATGGAGATGTCAGATAATGGTTTTGTTGACGATATTGGCGATTTTGTTTTTAAATCTGATGCTGATGATGGCGGTGATGATTTTGAAGAGGGACTTAATTGTGGATCATTCTCATTAACATTATCGACATAATTGGCCTTGTTTTGGTTATTATTCATTTCATCCCAACAGACACGATTTTCTGCCAAAGTGTCTAGAAAAATTTTAGCTTGATTTAGGAATAAAGCAAATGCTTCGAAATATGGTTTTACAACATAATCACCAAAACCGAGGCTTATTTGTGACTGATGAGTTTGTTCTCTGTCCATATTTGGAGATACAGGCAGATTTTTTAGTTTTTCCAAGTCACCTTGTTTAAAAAATTCCTCAACAACACAATCAGACCAACATTTAGATATTTCCCATGGACGTACAGTATTGCTCAGATCAGCAGCATGAAGTAAAACCTTTAATAAAATCAAACGTCGATCTTTATCCAACAGTGTTGGTGTTGTTGGAAATAGTCTTGAAGGCGATGTAGTAGATGTTGGAGAAGATTCGGGTGAGGTGAAAGTGGAGGAACTCGACGAATAACAACATCTGCTGTCAATGCCGCTGCTACTACTATTATTATCCATTTCTTCGCCACAAGAATCGCTAGAAGAACACGAAGAAGAACAATAGATGTCTGTAGTAGAAGAAGATGACGACGATTGAATAATATTATGTAAATCTTCTAATAGAGTATAATGATGCTTCATATCAGTTGCCAAAATTATTTCCTGTATTAAAACTTTCAAAGTTGAATCAATTATTTGTGGATCCATTCCTTGGAATTCATTGTTATGATTATTATTGTTGTGCAAATTACGAAATAATTTATGTTTTGACAATAATTCCATTGTCAATGTGCAAGAATAGTTTTCTAATACAGATTCGTTTTTATATTTGAGTGCCAAAGGTGTTCTTGCATTAACCTGGTAAACATTATTTAAACCAGGATGACCTACATCATGACACAAACCAGCTATCATCAAACAAATTGAATCCAAGGAAGTCAAATATTTTGCAGCACCTAAATCATTCAACATGTAGTATAACACAGCCACAACATCCACTGCATGATAGAATGAATGATAGTCGGTGGTAAAGTAACCCTTTTCAACATCAATAATAAAATCCAACATTTCAGACTCTTGTATTTGTAAACAACCACTCAAATCCAATCTCACCATCATACCCAACAATATACCATACAATTCTGGTATTGACCAACGCCATACATTAAAGTACATTCCAGTGTCAAAAGACAATTTATTGTCCAAAAATTTCAACATTGTCTACAATAAGCGAAGAGAGAAGAAATAAAAGAATTAGTATTGCGTTATAATAATCGTTGTACGAAATGTTTGGGAAATAAAAAAAGAAAAAGAGACTTACACTTTCGCATGTTATTAACTCGTCAGAGGGTAATGAGTTATATTTTAATAAAAGCATTTTTTTAATTAATAAATATTGTAAATATTAAAGATTTTTTATTTATCTATAAATATATTCTATTATATATAATCTATAGAAAGAAAAAAAAACAATAAATTTTTGAAAATTTTAAAAAAATTCTTGTTTATATATATAAGAATTTTTTGGCGTAATTATACACAAATGTAACGTGGTTCTTAAATATATTAATTAGAGTTTTATTTTTGCTCCTGAATTTTAAAAAATTTCTCGGTTTTTTAATAAGCAAAAAATTTATCTATGAAGTAATAAATGTGTATAAATAGAAGGCAGAAGAAAAGAATACGCTTATTATTAATAACATTAAATCGGGTAAACAAGGATCTAAATTTGGCACTAGTGTAATGTTAATTTTTGGTGTAATAAAACATTAATATTGTGATGGTAAAGGGAGAAATAACAATGATTTTTTAATATGGTATTTGTGAATGAATAAATAAAAAGAATGGATATTTACGAGATAAAGAATTTGAATTTGACTATTTAGCATCAATGAGAGATAATAACAATCAGGATTGATTTTCCAGCCATATTTATTTATCAAATGATGTTTTCAAGTTGCATTCATCTCAAAGTAAAAAAGATTTAGATTATGTATGCATTAAAATATAATTGTGACATTTTTTTTAAAGAAACTTGTTTAATTCAAGGTTTGAGGATTAACAACAAATTTGGTGGAATCAAAAATTCTAATTTATTATGCATGCATGCGTGTGTGTGCGTCGTGTGTATTATCATCATCTCTATTATATGCAAGAGAGAAAGAAAGTACGGAATGCGTGTGAATGGATGGGTGAAGAAAGATTGAAAAAAAAACCTAATTTAAAAGAATAGTAAAATATAAAGATTGTTTTTTTATTGTTTCCTAATTGCACTAATGCAGGAAAAAATATCTATTGTTGCACAATTATTTTCTTTTTTAGTAAAAATATTTCTTTCTTTACCAAATTAATTTCACAAATTCATATAAAAAACTAAATCACAAAACAATCTTTAAACAACATGGTGTTAAATGATGTTAACGAAAATTTTCCTCGTGGTTTCTTTTTTTATCTTTCTCTCTCCACAGTTTGTTTTTTAGTACAAAATAAGGAATATAATAGAAATATAATATTACAAACGGATCAATTGATAGTTGATGATCGGTTTAGGACCGGGAGTTAATTAATTTGGTGATGATTGACTGTGAATGAATGACGGTTTAATTAATATTTGTACATTTTTATTGTATGCTAAATAATCTTCCTTTTTTTAAAATAAACATGGCTACATCATCTTTTGCAGAAATTTTAAAAAAACAAGAAGATAGCTACGAAACAGAAAACTTGGAGGCGGATCTAATTGTTAGTGATGCATCTTTATCAAGCTCCACTTTTTCCAATATCTCCAATACTTCCAATACTTCTTACTTAAACACTTCTTCTTATGATATAGTAAGTAGTAGTGAAGGGGAAGATAAATTTAATGAAAATTATGATGCAACTGTTGCGGATAGCAATGATAATTATATTACATCTAGAGGAATAGGCGAGAGAGGAAGAGGAGGAGGTAGTAAAAAGTCTAGGAAAAACAAATTATCAAAAAGTGCAATTATTCTAAGTGCTACTATAGATATTGCTTTAGCTGGATTGTTGATTGGTTGGATTTATAAAAAACCAACTGCTACTAAAATTCAAATTGGCATAGGATCAATTGGTCTATTGTCATTATATGGTGCTCAATGGTAATGTTACTATTATAATTATTTTATTAATTAATTGTTGTTATGTTACATTATTTATTTATTTATTTGTTTATTACTTTTAGGATTACATATAAAAAATATAAAGATGATTAAAAATTATTGTTTTCACATAAATTATTTATTGTATCATTGATAACATTCAATTTATCAATTTATCAATAAAGATGTCTCAATGAATCCTTCCAACTTTCCTTCCCATTTTCATTACTCATCCAAATTGGTTTAAATCATTTATTCTTGTTGGTGGAAATGAATATTCTTTTAGTTTTCCCTAAAGAATGTTTTTTTCTTTCTTTTTCTTAACTTATTAATAAAAAGGAGAGAGAAGAATTTTTTTAAAAAATATATATATATAAAAAACCCATAATATTTTTATAATGTTATTTTGATATCAGAAAATTTAGAATGTTTGTCAACATTTTAATTGTTATTATTATTCAGACTGTTGAGCTTGATTATTTTATTCATCATATTCAACAAAAAAACTTGATTTATTTTATATTTTATATTTACCTTAAAAAAAAATTATCAAAAGAAAAATCAATAGATGTTACACTGCTGATTAATTAATAAAACGACAAAGATGATGATTATCATTATACATGTTATACATATTCTAAGTTTCAAAAAAAATAATAATAATGACTTCTGTTCTTGATCAAATTAAACAATACACTACCGTTGTTGCTGATACCGGTGAATTTGAGTGTAGGAATTTTTTTCAATAAATTAATTGTGGATCATAAATTATTATTACGTTTTATCATTTAATTTGCATCCAATAATAGCTTTTTCATCAATTAATCGTAATCTTATTTATGCAAAAAGCAATCGCCAAGTATAAACCTCAAGATGCAACAACAAATCCTTCTTTGATTTTACAAGCTACACAAATTTCTCGTTATGCTCCCCTCATTGATTCTGCTATTGAATATGCTAAAAACAGCAATGGGTAATTAATTTGACTTTTGATCAAATTTGTTGATCTGCGTTGCATATTCATTTATTGTTGCATGCAATGTCATCCATTTTATAACATATATTCACATATCTATTATAGATCAATTGATGAAAAAGTTGAATTAGCAACAGATAAGTTGGTAAGTAGGAGAAATATGATAATATGACATACAACATTTAATATATATTGCTCACTTGTTTACACATATATAATTTCAGTTGATTAATTTTGGTAATGAAATCCTTAAAATTATTCCTGGACGAGTTTCAACTGAAGTGGATGCAATTTTATCATTTGACACTGAAGCAACTATTGCTAAAGCTAAGCGTTTGATTGGGCTTTATAAGGAAGTTGGCATTGGTAAAGAAAGAGTATTAATCAAGATTGCTTCTACTTGGGAAGGCATCAAAGCTGCTGAAATACTTGAAAAAGAAGGGATTCATTGTAATCTCACTTTACTTTTCTCTTTCCCTCAGGTTACTACTATTAAATATTTAGCTAGTTCATCAATGCTTATTCATATTTATAAAATTGTTTACTCATTTACTCTTTCACCCTTTTCTTATATATAATAGGCAGTTGCATGTGCTGAAGCAGGTGCAACTTTGATTTCACCATTTGTTGGTCGTATTCTTGATTGGTATAAGAAAAGTACAGGACATGATTTCTCAGCTAAAGAAGATCCAGGTGTAAAATCTGTTATTAGAATTTACAATTATTATAAAAATCATGGTTATAAAACTATTGTTATGGGAGCTTCATTCCGTAACACAGGGGAGATTGAAGAGCTGAACGGTTGTGATTTTTTGACTATTAATACAAAATTATTACAACAATTAATTTTTAATGCTTTGCTAAATATTATTGATTTTTTTTTTGTGAAAAAGGTGATAACATTGTATTATAGAGCGCCTGAAATCTTACTTGGATCAAGCTATTATGCATATCAAGTAGATATATGGAGCATTGGATGTATTTTTGCTGAAATGTCTAATTTGTTTCCATTATTTCCTGGTAAAATATTAGTTACCATTGCCATCTTATTATTATCCTTTATAAACTTTTTTGCTCACTTACCCTCATGATACATATGCATGTTTGTTGTAGGTGACTCTGAGATTGATCAACTTTACAGAATTTTCAGCATTCTCG